ATCATTATTTATGTAGCCAAGCTTACTTCCCAAGTCAGAACTTTATCAACATGCCATTTTGTGTAATTACTTCATTGCCTCACACGATATTCCCAGCTTTAAACGTGAGAAGGAGAAAAACAGAGAGAGACTGACCCTGTATAATCCTCTGTATACAGACCACGGCAGACCTGACTTTTCATTTCAGTCTGTGATGTCCTGCAGCACAACAGCATAGCCTTACCATAGTAATAATGTCCAGAGTAGTTTGCTTGCAGATACATAATAGTTTCATATTATTTGCCGCTGTAATGTAAAGAGTGCACAATATGCCTCCCCTACAGCCCTGCCACTATTGAATCAAAGTGCCCATTTCCTGTTATTACATTGCAGAGTAAAGCATCTGTTTTTCATGTTGTTTACTGTTGCAAGCTTTTGGCCAATATTTAGTATGATAACTTGCACTCAGTAAACATGTTATTTATCGAAATCAGGTTAGAGAGGAAACCAGTAACATTTTATCTGCCCCGAAGCCTGGTCACTTCAAATCCTTTTATTTATGCAACCGTTTCTATTACTCTGTTTACCGTTAGCACAGTTACAGAGCTATTCCTTGGCAGTGAGTCAGTGCATGATTGTAGATGGGAACAAGCTTCTACTGAGCCAGCTGTGGAGTGTTGTCAGACTTCTTTGCTTGTGTTATACATGGTTAAGAAATTGCCTTTCTCAAGGGGAAATCCAGCTTCGAAAATCATGTGTCTAATGCCAGGTTCAGCTTACACATAAGGTTTCTATTACAGTGGTCTCTGTGTCAGATTAGGCAATTATTTAGTATTTCTTTTATCAGCTGTCTCAGATGAAACTGCTTTGGAAAATATGAAAGGAAGATAAAAAAGAAACTTGCTCCTGCTCAGCATCATAATTGATTGATCATTCTAACGTTATGATACCTTCACCCTAATCTTTAACTTTTTCCTACGTTTTGTTTCAGGTAATGCAAGATAAAATCATATGCCTTCCTAAGAGAGATTTGCCGCCTCCAGAGAACACAAGTGAAGTGGAAGTAAAGTCACTGTTACACCTGCAATCCAATATTTCTGCCGCACCAAGAGAAATGACCGGCCTGAAGACCGATCTGGATCTTCAACAGTACAGTTTCATCAATCAGATGTGTTACGAGAAGGCTCTGCATTGGTATGCCAAGTACTTTCCTTATCTGGTTCTCATACACACACTCATTTTCATGGTGTGTAGCAACTTCTGGTTCAAATTCCCTGGCTCCAGCTCTAAAATAGAGCATTTTATCTCCATGCTTGGCAAGTGCTTTGATTCTCCCTGGACCACGAGAGCTTTGTCGGAGGTGTCTGGAGAAAATCCTGAAGAAAAGGATAAAAAGAGCATCACTCTTAGGTCCAACATCGCCGTGTCTCCTGGTGAAGGAAGCTTGGAAAAGACACAGTCCCTCAGGTCGATCCCCGAAAAGATTGTGGTTGACAAGCCATCAGCGAGTGCTCTTGATAAAAAAGAGGGTGAACAAGCAAAAGCTCTTTTTGAAAAGGTGAAGAAGTTCCGTTTGCATGTTGAGGAAGGAGATATCCTTTATCTTATGTACGTACGGCAGACAGTGTTCAAGGTATTCAAATTCCTCCTGATCATTGCCTACAATAGTTCTCTAGTGAATAAAGTGCAAAATAAAGTGCAATGTGTAGTTGAGATCCAGGACATGACAGGCTACAAAAACTTTGAATGTAATCACACAATGGCTCATCTGTTTTCTAAGCTTTCCTACTGTTACCTGTGTTTAGTGGCTGTCTATGGATTAACAAGCCTTTACACGTCTTACTGGCTGTTTTACCGCTCACTGAAAGAATACTCTTTTGAGTATGTGCGTCAGGAAACGGGCATCAATGACATCCCAGACGTCAAGAACGACTTTGCCTTCATGCTACACATGATTGATCAATATGACCCTCTGTATTCTAAGCGATTTGCAGTTTTTCTATCCGAGGTCAGTGAGAACAAACTAAAACAGCTCAACCTCAATCATGAGTGGACCGCGGAGAAACTGCGTCAGAGACTGCAGACTAACAGCAACAACAGACTTGAACTCCAGCTGTTCATGCTCCCGGGGTTACCTGACACTGTCTTTGAGTTGACAGAGCTGCAGTCACTCAAGCTAGAGATCATCAACAATGTCACCATCCTTGCCTCAATCTCTCAGCTGGAGAACCTTCAGGAGCTGTCTCTTTACCAATGCTCTTTAAAGTTGCACACAACAGCTACCTCCTTCCTCAAAGAGAACCTGAAAGTGCTTCGTGTTAAATTCGATGATAACAGGGAACTTCCAAACTGGATGTACGGCCTGCGCAACTTAGAGGAGCTCTATCTCACCGGGTCTCTGAGCCCTGACGCCTCCAAAAACATAGTTCTTGAGTCGCTGCGGGACATGAAGTGTTTGAAAACGCTCTCCCTCAAGAGTAATTTGACCAAGATACCCCAGTCTATAGTTGATGTTTCCAGCCATCTGCTTCGGCTATACTTTCACAATGATGGCACTAAGCTAGTAATGCTCAACAACTTGAAAAAGATGACCAACCTGATTGAGCTGGAGCTAGTACGTTGTGATCTGGAACGCATCCCACATGCAATCTTCAGCCTAACGAACCTGCAAGAGCTCGACTTGAAAGAGAATAACCTGCGATCAATAGAAGAGATAATCAGCTTCCAACATCTTCGAAAGCTCACTTGCCTCAAACTGTGGTACAACAGTATCATGTATATCCCAGAGCATATCAAGAAGCTTGGTAGCCTAGAGCGCCTCTACTTCTGCCACAACAAGATCGAGATATTGCCTTCGCACCTGTTTTTGTGCAACAAGCTGCGCTACCTGGACCTGTCCAACAATGACATCAGATTCATCCCTCCAGAAATTGGAGTCCTTCAGAGTCTACAGTATTTCTCTGTGGTCTGTAACAAAATCGAAAGTCTACCAGATGAGCTCTTCTTTTGCAAAAAGCTCAAAATACTAAAGCTTGGCAAAAACTCACTGTCCATACTCTCGCCAAAAGTTTCCTACCTGGCTCTACTGACATACTTGGACCTAAAGTGCAACCACTTTGAGGTTCTGCCACAAGAGCTCGGTTGCTGTCATGCTTTGAAGCGCAGTGGCCTTATAGTGGAAGAGACACTGTTTGAAACTCTGCCTTCCGATGTCAGGGACCAAATGAAGGCTGAGTGAGATGCCTTATAGTAGCCACAGTGCCTGCTGCGTGTTCTGTCTACCAAATCAGAGCATTTGTTTTGTATGAACTCATTACCAAAGTTAAGTATTACACAGCTGTTATAAAAGTAATTATTTTAAGTTTCCTTGAAAAATTTGATTGAACTTACTCATGTTGTCACATGGAGTGTGGCTGCAACAGGGTTGATTGTTCTGCTGTTATTCATCTTTCACATACTATCAAACCACAAATCATTCCTCAACTAGGAGTTCTTGCTAAGAGTCAGATGAGAAGATGAACATCAATCTCATTATTTGCAAATTAAACATGAAGGCACAGTTAGCAGGCTATTAGCTTTGCTTACCACAGTCTGCTTCTGTCAAACAGTGAAAACACACTTACCAGCACAAAGCAAACTTAATACATGTTATATTGCTTGCTTGTAGCTGCATTAACACAAAGCTAACTTAATACATGTTATATTGCTTGCTTGTAGCTGCATTAAAACTGAAGTAGTGTGAATTGGGGATTACATGCTAGACTATTTTAGGGCCTGGTTTAGTTTTGGAGTCTCCTAATTAGTAAGCTTTAGAGGTGATGGTCGGCAGATTTGTTTAAATCATTGGACAGAACCATGCTAGGTTCATACCTCCCCCCGTTACAGTCTTAATGCTAAGGTAACTGTGTTCTGGCTTGAGTTTCAGATTTAGCAACCAGGCACGAGATACTGTATATATCCATCTTATTATCTAACTCTTGGCAAGAAAGCTAAATAAGTCTTTTTTTTTTACAAACTATTTTTAATGTACATTTCCTGTCAGTGCTACATGAAATAATTTGATTACCAAAAATATCACTTAGGTTAAGGCCAGTAAACTTGGGTATTCTGTATTGTATATGTGTTTTGCCCTTATAAGTCTTTTTTTATTATTCAAGACAAAGACTGTTCATTCAAGAGGATCACAGCAGGCAAGATGCAAAAAACAAGGAATATAAGAACATATAATGCCTTGGCTAAACAATTCTGTATCATATACAAATACATATTTAAAGTGCATTAAAACTTAAAGGATTGTAATACCGGTGTTTTTTTTCCACTCTTGAAATGTGCACAAGAAATATGCAACCTATTTCAAAAATGTATTTTCATAAACAGTATTTTATGTTGTTGACCATTAAAAATAACCAATCATTTGGAAACATCATATGCTAGGATGGATTGTTTTCTTAAGGTCTTAACAGAACAAAAACCCACCATTTAATTAGGACAATCTTCTTGGGCAGAACCAATAAGATGTTAATATTATTTTCAAAAAATGTAAACAAAAGGAAGGTGAAATTTGGTGAATATTATTTTTATAGAATTGCAAAAGTGTATATGTTGATTTTTGTACATTTGTATTTATTTATTTTTCCCGAGACGATGCACAGAGAAGATGCACACATGACAAAAATAGCCTTTTCCCTAAAAAAAAGTAGCTTTCAATTAAAGAAAAAATATAAAAATAGGAATCTACTATGAGTCTCTCGAATGTTTCTTCTAGTGAAAGGCTTGTATTTTTAGACCCAAGAAAACAAAGCTGTGATATAACTGAAATTGCACCCCATTGCACTTTCACGACGGTCCCTAACTTCAGTGGGTCATCTCCTCTTTACCAGTGTCAACCCGTGCAAGGTTTGTATGTATTTTGGTGTCTGCAAAAGTAAGTGACAGTAGGCTACTTCCACCATTTTTGTAGAATGACTCTGTTACCATTTGATGGTCATACTAAAACCATATATTGAGAACAACCTCGGCGAGCGTGAGAATAGCCTCAACCCGGGAACACCTCCAGCAGCTGCTGCCGCCCGGCTGTCACAGGCGGAGAGGACCCGACCATCTGACGCGGAGTGGGGGAGAGAGACTGAGCTAAGCTGCTTACACCCGGCCAGCAGACCCACGGTTCAACTGATACGAAGAATGGACGGCTTCATTACTGCAGCGGAACATGGCGTGTAAACAGAGGCGTTGTTCGGCAGTGCCACCAAAGACATAACCTCCTGAAGGTGTGTATCTGTATGATGGTGCTCGTTTATGTTGTTCAATGTGTTAAATAGAACCGCTATGCTGTGGCCCAAATGTGTTAGCATGTTTGGCTAACAACATTAACCAGCAGTGAATTTAGCGCACTCATGTAATCTGAACGCGTAGTGATTTTCTAACGGAGAGCAGCCATCAGTGCTGCGTCTAGCTGCTGGAGCCGCGGTCCCAACCTGCTCCAAAGCCTCGTTAAAATAGTCGCCTTCGTGTTTTCAACATACACAAAATAATTGAGACACAGTGGTGTCACTGATCTTTTTATTATTTAATGTATTTTTATTAACCATACCAAAAAAACACTATGTTAATATACAGTTAAACATATCAATGCTACGCAGTCTGATGGATATGTGAGGTTGGCTTTGCAGAGCTTGTGTTGCACTATCTCTGCAGACAATGGTGTGTGTCAAGGCCGAATTTACCATATAGCCTACATTAGGGATGCCAGCGATTATTCGATTATTCGATTATTCGTTACAGTCTCCATAATCGAATATTATTTTTAAAAATCGATTTTATTAATATATTTTTTTATTAATATTTATGTTTTTCTTTTTTTTCCTGGTTTGGTTTCAACCAAAATATAGACTAATGCTAATAATAGTAATAGTATTAATAATTGTAAATGACCATTGATCACACCACCAGTTTGTTTTACTGTAAACTTGGAGGAAGCCAGCAGCGCAGAGTGCTGCAGCCTGCTACACACCGACCCCGCCCCTCCCCTCTCCGTCGTGGAAGGAGGCGGTTTCCTTGAGTTTATGGCAAACGTGGAACCAGATTACAGGGTCCCGGGCCGTACTCTTATCAACTGTCTCAAAGGTGTCGATAACCACCGACGGGTGGACGGCACTCACAACTGAATCCTATGTTACCATAACCTGACATTATATCGATAGTGAATGGGAGATGAAGAGTGCGGTTAATTTAGCTGAGAGGCTCCGCAGTGCTCTGTGCCCTCGGAAAGGGTTTTTTCGGCGGCAGGACTAATCCTTAACCGGCTGCGCTCTCGCCTACACCCATACATACACACATAAAGTAGGCTATTTATTTAATTTATTTCAATGATGCTATTATTAATACTGAAGAGCCCTTTTGTACCATGTACACGTTCCAGTAAAAGAAAACAACGGAATACCATTTGTCAGTGTTTTTTTTTTCCTCCTCCCCGGGGGGGGGGGGGCGATTAATCGATTAATCGATTAATATTCGCCAGGGCTGTCCGATCTTCGATTTTGGTCATGGTCAGTTTCTGGCATCCCTAGCCTACATTGGGGGACACACGTATTTAGATACGCTCAAAATGTCCCCCCCCCAATAGCCTAACTGATATAAACAAATGAAAATAAAATTGCTATTCTATGACTTTTTTATTTTTGGTCCCCCCCCAATGTTGACTCCATGGTTACGGCATTGGTGTGTGTGCCCCAGTTCATGGGCAGTGTCCTCTATAAATAAATCCATATCAACATGACAAGGTTGATCAGTCTGAGCCTCTTCAGAACGAGGCCTTGTCTAAATTGGAGGACAGTGAATCCTACCAGAACTCAGTGTCCTAATATCTATGCTGAGTATCTATTGGTCACATTGTTAACTACTAGAGGAAATAATAATATCCTGCATGTTTAGTAACGAAAAATGAGAAACAATGTTCAAAATGCAATACAATAGAATACTACAGAATCTTACTTTAAGTAGTCAACACTGTTTTATTAGATTGTATAAGATTAGAAGTGGTGTACAGTAACTAAGTACAGTAGATGTACTCAACTACTGTATTTGAGTACAATTATGAGAGACTTGTACTTCATTTGAGTATTTCCAACTTAGTACTTCTACCGCACTACAATTTAGAGGTACATATTGTACATTTACTCCCCTACATTTATTTAATATCTTTAGTTACTTTACAGATTTGGATTAATGATGTGAAATATAATCAAGTTTTAAAGGTCCCATGTCATGGCCATTTCTACTGATCATAATTCCATTGTTGAGGTATACTAGAATAGATTTATATTGTGCAATGTTCCAAACTCACATTGGTTTCTCATACAGCATCTCTGTATTAGGGGTCGACCGATATGGCTTTTTCAAGGCCGATACCGATACCGATTATTAGTAATCAAGGAGACCGATAACCGATATTTGGAACCGATATACATTTGCAGTAAAATCAGAAAATCTTGGTGTCAAAATGTAGAATAACACAAACTCCAACACAACTTCTTTGAAATGCATTTAAGCATATATTATGTTTAATGAACTTTTAAACATCTTACAACTGGTTTCCTCTCTGTGCCCTTTTCTTTAGTGCAGCCATCTGCAATGAGTTAGAGAGAGACAGAGAGTTAAAAGTGGGGCTGCAGGCTGACATGCTTAACTAACAATAATGCTTAATGTATTATATCAAAACAATGCCTGTCTATCTAGCATAAAATCCCAATAAGCTGCTAGCAACTGCAAAACACTAGTGCTAGCTAATGTTTTGCAAAATATTAAAAGTGAGGCTATTACAGTAGACCTAACGTTAGTCTAGTAGCCTCACTTCTAATATTTTGCTAAACATTTGCTAGATACATGTTGGCTAGCTAATGAGCTTCACATATCAACCTGAAAAACTGCGAGGCTCCACTCGCAGCCCCCCCCCCCCTCCGCACCACAGTTACTCCGCTGCAAGACGATTGCCGATAAAACTTTGGCTCTTGACCCTTACTCTGTATTAGGGATGCCAGCGATTATTCGATTATTCGTTACAGTCTCCATAATCGAATATTATTTTTAAAAATCGATTTTATTAATATATTTTTTTATTAATATTTATGTTTTTCTTTTTTTTCCTGGTTTGGTTTCAACCAAAATATAGACTAATGCTAATAATAGTAATAGTATTAATAATTGTAAATGACCATTGATCACACCACCAGTTTGTTTTACTGTAAACTTGGAGGAAGCCAGCAGCGCAGAGTGCTGCAGCCTGCTACACACCGACCCCGCCCCTCCCCTCTCCGTCGTGGAAGGAGGCGGTTTCCTTGAGTTTATGGCAAACGTGGAACCAGATTACAGGGTCCCGGGCCGTACTCTTATCAACTGTCTCAAAGGTGTCGATAACCACCGACGGGTGGACGGCACTCACAACTGAATCCTATGTTACCATAACCTGACATTATATTGATAGTGAATGGGAGATGAAGAGTGCGGTTAATTTAGCTGAGAGGCTCCGCAGTGCTCTGTGCCCTCGGAAAGGGTTTTTTCGGCGGCAGGACTAATCCTTAACCGGCTGCGCTCTCGCCTACACCCATACATACACACATAAAGTAGGCTATTTATTTAATTTATTTCAATGATGCTATTATTAATACTGTTAATACTGAAGAGCCCTTTTGTACCATGTACACGTTCCAGTAAAAGAAAACAACGGAATACCATTTGTCAGTGTTTTTTTTTTCCTCCTCCCCGGGGGGGGGGGGGGGGGGGGCGGGGGGCGATTAATCGATTAATATTCGCCAGGGCTGTCCGATCTTCGGTCAGTTTCTGGCATCCCTACTCTGTATAGTATGTGTATTCACTCTCTGTCCTAAAGGGCTTGTTGGAGCTCCTGCCCCCCCCTCCCTGTGAGCTCACTGTGCTCTGATTGGTCAGCTCGCCCACTCTGTTCTGATGAGTCTACCACCGTTACAGCGGAACATCAGTGATTATGTGTTACAATGGCGTTAGCAACCAGAAAATGACACCAGTAATGACAAACAGATGAGAATGCTGCGTGGGGTCTGGGTGCCGTGTTGGCGGGACGTTGCGCGGCTCGCTGCGGCGAGGAGCGGACAGTGTGAGCTGGGTTCATTTCCTGCTTGCTGCAGACAGCGAGACATCGCGAATGGCTCCACTAGCACACCCCCCCAGCGCGTCACAGTTTCGCCGCTGAGAGAGTGTGTGTGTGTGAGGAGCTCCACGTATTGGTCCATTTGGAAGAAAACAATGGAAAAAGAGAAATCTCCAACGAGGCGTTCTGGGGCAGCATAGACAGGTATTTTCTGTGTTAGAGTTGTACTCGCACAGGGTGTACTGTGAGGGTTTGTGACTCTGCAGACCGTTTACATGCAGAAAAACCTTCATAACACACAAGGGGACGGGTAATAACCGGAAAAGCATGACATGGGAGCTTTAAATCAGACTTAAGTTCCACCTGGAGTAAATTCACAAGCTACCCTGCAGTATACAAAGTCATTAAAACTATCTGCACCTTTACCAGCTTTGATAACACTTTAATGATCAATAATTATAAAACATATATCTTTTTCTGAAATGGACCAATCTGGACAATGAATACTTTTACTTTTGATTCTCAAAGTATATTTTGATGCTAATACTTGAGTAACATTTTGAATGCAGGACTTTTACTTGTAACAGAGTATTCTTGCACTCTTGTATTTCTACTTTCACTTAAGTACAATGTCTGATTACTTCTCCCACCTCTAAGGATTACAGGGCCATGTGTATTTCTCTTTCTGAATTAATTTATTCTAGTCATTAATTAAAAAAGTAAGTCATTTAAACAGGACCATGACCACTCATATTCTTTGTTTTGTTAGCATCCATGATATTTTTAGCATCACATTGCCTGTCAAAATTATTTAAAAATACAGTACTATGACAGACAACTAGGTTATTTTAGATATGTATTTAAAAACTGGTACAATGACAGGTTTGTCAACTCGGGTATTATGAGACTTACCAAAGAGTTATAATGTTTTGCCATTTTATCGCCATTTATGAAAGGGCCAATTTCAGGTGTTATTCATTGAGTTTTTAGATTAAAATAGGGTAGGACTTCCACAACACCTCATTCGGTTTACCTTCTATGAGGGAAGTACTACCTGTACAACTATCTAATACTATTTGTAAGGTAAACATTTGTCCTGCAATCACACAGTATTATTTTTAAATTAATTACATGTTCTTTAAAATGTATTTTATACCTTGCTGGTCACAGCTAAAAACTTTTTTGAATATAGAATTGCTAAGACGGAGGTAGCGGTTATATTAAGCTTTAAAGGTCCCATGTCATGCTTTTCCGGTTATTACCCGTCCCCTTGTGTGTTATGAAGGTTTTTATGCATGTAAACGGTCTGCAAAGTCACAAACCCTCAAAGTGGCTAGTGGAGCCTCGCAGATGGGGGTGCTGCAGCCCCCTCAGCACCCTCCCCTTCCCGCGTCCATTCGCGATGTCTCGCTGTCTCGCAGATCCCACGCAGCAAGCAGGAAATGAACCCAGCTCACACTGTCCGCTCCTCGCAGCAGCGAGCCGCGCAACGTCCCGCCAACACGGCACCCAGACCCCACGCAGCATTCTCATCTGTTTGTCATTACTGGTGTCATTTTCTGGTTGCTAACGCCATTGTAACACATAATCACTGATGTTCTGCTGTAACGGTGGTGGACTCATCAGAACAGAGCTGGCGAGCTGACCAATCAGAGCACAGTGGGCTCACAGGGAGGGGGGGGGGGGGGGGGCAGGAGCTCCAACAAGCCGTGTAGGACAGAGAGTGAATACACATGCTATACAGAGATGCTCTGTGAGAAACCAATGTGAGTTTGGAAAATTGCACAATATAAATCCATTCTAGTAGACCTCAACAATGGAATTATGATCAGTAGAAATGGCCATGACATGGGACCTTTAATCTACGGATGTCAGGTGGTGCATACATCTGGAAATTCACTTAAGTTGAAAAGTATGTACTTTACTGCAAGAGGAAAAGTGCGACAGCAAGGATTCCATTACACACAAACCTGATTTCCCTGGATTCATTATGCTCATTAGGTAAGGTTATGTACAGTATCACAGTACATTCAGTAAGTGATATAACAAACAATGGTTGCAAAAAAAAAATGGTATAAGTATTTTATGTTATTTTATTTCATGAAATGTTTTTTTGAGAAGTGACAATGTACATCAATCTACTTTCAAAAAGATGTTCACGTGCCAAAGTTAGCTTAAGGGCTAGTTTACGTTAGCAGTCCATTTACCTGATGTTATTAGGGATCCCAAAATAACATGAATAATTCAATATTGTGTTGTTTTTGTAATGAGAGAAATAAAGCATGATGTTCATTAATATTCTCTGTTGCAGGAATGTTCACCCTCACAGAAGTAGCCTCCCTAAATGACATCCAGCCAACGTATCGCATACTGAAACCATGGTGGGATGTCTTCATGGATTATCTGGGGATCGTCATGTTGATGTTGGCCATATTTTCTGGAACGATGCAGTTAACAAGGGACCAAGTGGTTTGTCTTCCCATTCTGGAACCATCTCCAGAGGGGTCTGGGGGCTTCATACAAGCCCAACCCCCGGAGACAGCTGATAGCTTATGGAACAAAGAAAGCGCCATTGGTGAGCAAGCTGCTCCTCTAATGGCTAAAAGGCCTCCTGATAAAATCCCCCCCACAGTTCCCTTCACACATTCGGGTTCTTTGGGACAGCCTCTGCCTACAGGTGTCAGGACCAAACTGGATTTTCAGCAGTATGTTTTTGTCAATCAGATGTGCTACCATGTTGCCCTTCCTTGGTATTCCAAATATTTCCCCTACCTCGCTCTGATCCACACTATCGTATTAATGGTCAGTAGCAACTTCTGGTTCAAGTACCCAAAGACAAGTTCCAAAATAGAACATTTTGTTTCCATACTTGGAAAATGTTTTGAATCGCCTTGGACGACCAAAGCGCTGTCCGAGACAGCCTGCGAGGACTCGGAAGAGAACAAACAGAGACTGGCAGGAGCCTCCACCCTCCTGAAGCATCTGTCCACCAGCAGCGAGGAGGGGAGTCCCAACCAGTCCGCCCCAATGCTGACCAAATCTGGGGTCACGTTTTCTGCTGAAAAGCTTGTGAGTGAAGTTCCTGCCATGACCATACTGGACAAAAAAGACGGAGAGCAAGCCAAAGCCCTGTTTGAAAAGGTTCGCAAATTCCGTGCCCATGTGGAAGACAGTGACCTGATTTACAGGCTGTATGCCATTCAGACCGTCATCAAAACAGTCAAGTTCATTTTGATCCTGTGCTACACCATGACTTTTGTTGCCTCTATAGATTTCAACCATGTGTGTGAGCCTGACATTAAGCATTTGACTGGATACAAAAGGTTCCATTGTACACACAACATGGCCTTCATGTTAAAGAAACTCCTTGTTAGTTACATTGCTCTCATATGCGCCTATGGCATAATCTGTATCTACACACTGTTCTGGCTTTTTCGGCGACCACTTAAGGAGTATTCCTTTGAAAAAGTCAGAGAGGAGAGCAGCTTCAGTGACATTCCAGATGTGAAGAATGATTTTGCGTTCCTCCTCCACATGGTCGATCAGTACGACCAGCTGTACTCAAAGCGCTTTGGTGTTTTTCTCTCTGAGGTGAGTGAGAACAAACTTCGGGAGATCAGCCTGAACCACGAGTGGACCTTTGAGAAGTTGCGGCAGCATGTGATACGCAACCCTCAAGAAAAGTTGGAACTCCATCTTTTTATGCTCTCTGGAGTGCCAGATGCTGTGTTTGATCTCACCGATTTGGAAATTCTCAAACTAGAATTAATCCCAGAGGCCAAGATAACAGCTAAGATCTCACAAATGACAAACCTCCAGGAGCTGCACTTCTATCACTGTCCAGCCAAAGTTGAGCAGACTGCTTTCATTTTTCTCCGTGATCACCTCCGGTGCCTTCATGTCAAATTCACAGATGTCGCTGAGATTCCTAGCTGGGTATACTTGTTGAAAACTTTAAGGGAACTCTACCTTGTTGGTAATCTGAACTCTGAAAACAACAAAATGATCGGACTGGAGTCTCTGCGAGACCTCAGGCACTTAAAGATTCTGCATCTCAAAAGTAACCTCACAAAGATCCCAACCAACATAACGGATCTGTCCCCGCATCTGATCAAGTTGGTAATTCATAATGATGGTACAAAGCTCTTAGTTCTTAATAGTTTGAAGAAAATAATGAATCTTGCCGAGCTGGAGCTTCTCAACTGTGAGCTGGAGAGAATACCTCACGCTATTTTCAGTTTGAACAACCTTCAGGAACTGGATCTAAAGTCCAACAACATCCGGACCATCGAGGAGATCATCAGCTTTCAGCACCTCAAGAGACTGACCTGCCTCAAACTTTGGCACAATAAGATCATCACCATTCCATTGTCAATTAGCCATGTCAAAAACCTTGAATCCCTTTATCTGTCACATAACAAGCTAGAGTCTCTCCCCTCATCGTTATTCACGCTCCTCAAGTTGAGGTACCTCGATGTTAGCCACAACTCCGTAGTGACAATACCACTGGAGGTTGGCTTTCTGCAGAACCTCCAACATTTTGCCATTACTGGCAACAAATTGGAAGTAGTTCCCAAGCAACTCTTCAAGTGCAGCAAACTGAGAACCTTATGTCTCGGCCACAACTGTATCTCCACCATTCCAGAGAAGATTGGCCAACTCTCGCAGCTGACCCACCTGGAGCTGAAGGGGAACTGTCTGGACCGTCTTCCGGTCCAGCTCGGTCAGTGTGGCCAGCTGCGCAAGAGCTGCCTGATCGTGGAGGATCATCTGTTTGACCTGCTCCCCATCGAGGTCAAAGAGAGCGTCAATCAGGAAGCTAGTGTTTCTTTTCCAAATGGCTGTAAGTGTCTAAGTGATGGCCGTTAGTAACATCCTACGTGGCATCAAATGTCCAGCATTTCATCGTAGGTGTATAACAGTTTTTTTTTTCAAAGTATGCCTTTAGAAATGTTATTGTAATCTTCATGATGTTTGAGAAACTAAAGTAGAAAACAATCGAGAAATGTTTGTTGACAGCTAGAAACTATCTTGTTTAGTGTCTATAAATGTCCTTATTTTTGGTTAATATATGTGCATAGCATCAAAACACTCCCACTTTGTACCTTTTGTATGCAAAACTATTGGATCTATGGAAATTTGTATCATTTTGAAACAATACAGCTTTTTATTGTTGTGATTTTTTTTCATCACGTACCTAACTAGATACTCTTGATTGGTCTCATCTTTAAGGGGCAATTCACTAAAAATAAAATAACTCACCCTCAAGTATTCAGGTAGTTTTCAATTTTCTGCCTCCACCCGATTGAAATGGATGCAAATAGAATAGAAATTGGTCAGAGGGACTCGTCTTTACATCAATAAAATATGACATTTAAAAAAGTAAAACAGCTACATTTCTTTCCAGAACAAGCTTCCCTGGATACGACCTGTTTACAGAAAGTGTGATGATTATCCAGACATTTCGTCTGGGAGAAGCTGCCAGCAGCATAGACAAAATGATATTCCCCTCAATGGTATTGAGATGGAATCAGAAATCTCAGGTATGGATATTTCGAAACCTGAACTAATAAAACCAAAACCATCTTAATTTATAGACAATACTAAGTGAGGGAATACTCTTTTATGTTTTTTGGTTGGAAGAAAAACTTAAGGTCCAATTTACAGCGTTGCTCATGTGTTTGTATCGGTGAATTACAACTGAACAAACTCCCTCCCATGAGGAAGTCTCACAAAGTGTTAAAAAGCTCCAGAAAAAGATAATCAGTGGAGCTAGAGTAAATACTATTACTGCTACTACTGCTTCCAAGGAGTTATTTTACTTTACCTCTCACGTGAAAGAACTGTGCAGGAATAACCTTGTATTATTATGAAACCTATGCATTCCAGTTTGAATATATTTACATGTTGCACACCAAATGATTGATGGTTGATCAGTAAGAAGTGGTTATTTTTTGATACACTGGATTATTGTTCCTCCAAAGGAGTAGGCATTGTATTGTTTCCGTTCCCGTACAGCCAACCCACACTGATGTTTTTATTAGCTGTACTTTTGCTCACATGTTTGATTTATTTTTCGTAAACTGTGTGTACCATGCATTTTGTGAGTTTTTTGTATGTATTTATGATCTCATTGTCATTTATCTGTTCAATTTTAAGGCCACTTTGTAAACCAGAGGCCTGTACTACGAAGCCGGTTCAACATAACCTGGATATGTTTGAGCTACCCGGTTTACCTAATCCAAAACAAACGCGCTCTCGCTAAACGGTCCTACAACGCTGGTTATCAACTCGTTAACTCAAGCCAGCTTTGCCCTATCTAGTTATGTGCGCGTTCACATAAAAGGGGCGGGGTTAGCAACATTTGACCGATCACAAACATGGAGAAGCGCACTGACAGCGCAGTGTCATACTTCCTGAATGAAAAGTGAACTATAATATTAGACAAATATTAAGACGTTAAACTTTAAACATCCACGACTTAAACACTTTATCAAGATGAATACAGCTGGTAAAAGAAAAAGTGTTTGAATGCGTTCATTAACAGGTTTATGATATCACTGCCCCGTCTAAGACACGAGTGGATCTGACTTTAATTACATTTGACTCGAGTGTTTCGTCAACTTAATGTGTTGCTTAAAATAATACTTCTGCATACAGTATGTGACACTGTAAGTGTTGCACGGCCAGATACGGCTCAAGAAGCTGACTCAGATAAGGAAATAATATGATACATTATGATGTGATATGATATGAATGATAATGGGACACATCGACGTCTGCACTCACAGTGCCGCGGACTGTACGTAATGTTACTTTGATCCGGTTACTTATGTTAACTTGTGGCAGATATTTAAAGGTGGGGTAGGTCATTTTGGAGAAACCAGCTCGAGATCGCTAGAATTTGAAAATACACAGCCGGAAAAAATCTGCCACTTCCTTACAACACACACGAACGCGCACATGACCAATGAGGGCACGAGATAAGTTTGTGCACAGATGGAAGGCTGACAGGCAGGTAGGCCATCCAGTTATTTTAGCCGGGCCGGCTAAAATGATTGGTCGTACTTTTTACAGTACTACGGCTTCCACAGATGACATTTTTTTATGGATTTGTTGTCAAAGCACTTAAGATATTTATTGCTATCGGGATGTTAAGAGCATTCCATGGAATATAACAAAAAGTGTATCTCGAGCCGGTTTCTCAAACTTACCTACCCCACCTCTAAGTAAGCTTTCTTAACACTAATGTTATAATAGTCAGATTGCTCTGAAGATGGGAGGTGATATTCTATTAATTTTCACGTTCACAGTCAGTTGATTTTTGCCGGCTGTCTTTCATGCAACGGCAGTTTTTCTGTATTTCCTTTCTCCTGTAATATGACTTGATAGCTTTAAACTCAGCACACTGAGCTCTGATTGGTCAGCAGGCGGTGCTTTCACTGAGTTGATCTCTTATCCTGGAACCTAACCTACTCCGGACCAGGCTAGCCGTTCAGCATACGTTACCATGGAGATCTAGCCCGCTAAGAAATGAACCAGCGTCGTAGGAACGGAAACCCAGAGTTTTCCCTGAAGTTAGCTCGCTAAGCGAAAATCTGGCTTCGTAGTACAGGCCTCTGGTTTTCAAATGTGCTACATGAATAAAAACAATGACTTATTACACTGTTATCTTTACTATTATTCAAAGCTAGAAATGAAGTGAAAACTGCCCTGCAACGCTCAACATTCTGACAATACTGTACTAATGTCGGAAGTATGGCCATATGTATTTCTCTCAATTTCTCATCAAAATTGTGATTTGCAAATAATTAACCATCTAAAAACTGATTTGTATTTCCATTTTTAAAGTTAAGGATACAACATTAGGATGTTACCGACCTTTTCTTCTTTACCCCGTCTGCTATCTGCTATAACAACTCAACATGCAAACAGCCTCTTAAAATGTGCTAATATTTGAGGGTTAAGATAAAATAAGAAGTACTTTATTGATACCAATTGGGGAAATGTTTATGCTGCAGCAGCAAAAGACAAGGCATTGTACATTAGACAGTTAAAAGACTAGAATTAAACAATCGAAAATGTAAAATAAAATAAAATAGCATTACAAAAAGTAGAAAATATACATAGATACTGTGAACAGCTATCTTACCTGCCTTGTTAACATATACATGTTAGGCTAACGTTGCCTTGGTTAAAGAGCATGTTGCTGTTGTTTATTGCTTTGAATTCTTTAAAACAAATATTATCTTCTTAAACTTGTATGGTAGTCAGGAGCATCACTTCCTAATGTTTATTGATATATTTAGAGGGAGGGGATGGGAAGGAAGGTTTCAAAATTCTAATTAGATTAATTTCTACCATTTCTTTAATTCATGGTGGTTTCAGTAATCCCATGGTAATTGAGGACATAAGTAATCTAAATGACTAATGAGATCTTTATGACTTTCAGAAAGGACAGGAGACCGACAGGTGCCTATCAATGATTGTCAACTGACAGCACAATGAGTCAAAGGACTAGCAGCAGCAGCATGATGATGATGTTAAATGTGTTGTTTTAGGAACATCCATTGTAAATAAATGGAATTCAATAAACATTGAATAGCATGTCATGCAGTTTGTCTGTGCCTTTTCCTCTGTGTTGTCCTGGCATATAGTCTCCCCCATGGTTTGCTGTGCTGCCTGGGGATGCTCCAATCGCTCAGAGAAAGGAGCACAAATGTAAAGTTTCCCCACTGACACAGAGAGGAGGAAAGAATGGCTGGCTCAAGTCAGCAGGAGCAATTTAAATATCACAAAAGACAACAACAGCAACAAAATGTGATTCTCTGAATCGGGTGCCTTTTGGGTCTTTACATTTTTGAAAAATGAAACTACATTTTTTGCATTTTTGATCATAACATCTGGTAGTGGACTACTTAAAACTTTGAGAAAACACATTTTCCCACCTCAGGCACAACATATATATAATTACTAGGAATTTCCTTGAAAAAATGTGACGGGGTTGAAGTTTTTGGCAAAAAGTAGCCAGCACCACATGGAATTTAAGGACATCATACAATTGTAATATTTTGCAAAACTATTGTTTAATTTTTCCTAAATAATTGTTTACTATAAGTAATTCATACAACAGAGTTGAAATGTTGAGCTTGACAATCTCAATCTGACAATAAAAAAATGAAATATAGGTAAGAAAAGACACTGACACTTGCCTTTCTTTGCCGCCTTTTCCTCAATAGACTTCTGTGATGTCGCTCCCTCAATGCAGATGTCACATGGACTGATCCATTATTTTAATAGGGGGGTAAAATGTATAGCGTGACGGGGTTGAAACAAACTGGGGGACGAGTGTCAATAGTGCAATTTCATAGATAATTCATGTATTTTTTCAGATTTTTTTTTTCTCAGTTAAAGTACACACGCATTATGATTATATTAGCATCAAAATGTTGGTATAATTGGCAATTGTTATTTGTTTAATATTCAATGAATATGTGATGATGCTCAGTGAGGACATGCAAAAATGTGTGTTGTCTACTACAAAGACAACTAATTATTATAAAACAAAAACAAAATATATATATTTAGTTTTACATTGTAATGCAAAACACCCTGTTCCTTTAATTCAGTGCTTTAAAAATACATTTTCTAGTTTCCTTTCATTTAAAATCTTTGAAGTAAGCTTGGGGGACACAAAGGGCACCCGATTCAGAGAATCATATTTTTCACAAAACGAAGACCACACCATTGGGAAGCTTAATGTCTGTTTAATAAAAATAAGGAACAGGGAGAGGCTTGCAAAACTCTGGGAGTTGAGATTCAGGTGCAGGGTGAGGGTCTCATTGCAGGTCTTCAGGCTCCATTGAATCCCCCTGGGGTTCTTGTGCTGAAAGAGGGAGACAAAGATAGGAGAAAGGGTTAGATACATCTAGCAACCTATAGGATGGGAAATTGCTGACCTATTTTAAACTTACCTTGTGTTTTCACTCTCACTTAAGTCCCTCTCCCTTTGTCATCAATCCAAAATCAGCTGAGCTGCAACATAATACAGACAGCAGGTAATAATCAACAGAATCACAAGGACATAATATGGCTCTGCTAAAAACACTCACCCATAAGTTACGTTTTTGTTTACTGTTTGGAAGTCTCAAATATGCACTCTAAATCCATATCAAGCGATGTATCACAAAAATAGCTCTCTTCCTTATTATTGTGTAACGTTAACTATAATTTAACTTGAACTATAACTATAAAAGGAAGTTAGCGGCAAGCTAACTTCCGGGGAACTATTGAGAGGCTCTACGATCCGCCATTGCTGTACAAAAATGGTCCATTGGAGTGAACGGAGATGTCGTTACTCTTCTATTATACGGCTCTGGCCAGAGGGCTTGTCCTGTGCGTTTTGAAAGTAGTTTAATGTATTAACGTTAGTGGCAGACACGAGAAAATGACTCGCACCCTTGGCTCTTCCTCCCCACCGCCGGGAGACGGAGCCAGCCGGCCGGACCAGCACACATGTTGCTGCCGTTGTTACCGTTTAACTGGTGGCGCGGGGGAACTTGTGATATTCTATAACGGTAGGAATGTCTCAGGGGCGTGTACTTTGAGGAGCCATTAGCCGCGTTCACACCGAGTACTTTGCAGTACTTAGCCCCGGCACTTAGTGCCCCGGCACTTATTACCCCAGGGCACTAAGTACCAATCGCGTTCACACCGGAGTACTTTTCCCTGAGGGAAGATTACGCAAATGAGCCGCTGACGTCACTTCGTCTTCTTCTGCTTTGGGTTTACTGGCAGGCTGCAAACAACTTCACGGCGTATACTGCCGCCATAGACTGTATATATAAATGGACCTATAAGTGACGTCACCCATAGGATTCTGCAGACTTGCCGAGAAGCCCTTAGTAGGCGGAGTCGGCCACTAACGGCTCGACAGCGACGTCAGAGTCTAACTCCCGCCTGCTCCAAATAAGGGCAAAGAGGCGGAGCCGAGGCGAGACCTGCTGCCTCCGAACTGGAAGTAAACAGAGCTAGCTCAGGCTAAGAAGCTAAGCTAACATGAAATACATGCATGACTGATTCTATAATTTAGGGTGCATTTCACATCAACAAAACAGTACAAAGAAAGTGTTCTTTCTCAATAGAACAATCAGTGGTTCAAGTTAGCATATTCCTCAGTGTAACATATCCACTAGTTGCAAAGCTTAAACATTTTTTTATTTATTTTATTTTAAGGGAAAGGATGTTTTCACTACTCAGTTTGTCAACTATGTTACGGACAAACTTGATGTCATTACAATCATTTGATTAAGTCCTGCACTTCAAGTAAAATCAAATTTGAAAGGCTCTTGAGTCTATTCTACCATATATCCAAAGATTTTTTAAAGTTTAAAAAATAATTGTATTAAAGTTTTGTTTTTTCATGTGATATGTTCAGCACTGTCATTAAGTTAAGGGATATGTTGTATTATAAAACTACCATACAGGTCATTTTGATAGTTTTAAGAGATGTCATGTAAAACTCCAACCTGTGTAGATATACATTATACTATAAAGGATATCAGAAGCACTATTTTAGATATTTTTAATTTGAAAAAATGAGGTGCAACATAGTTGACAATGAAAGTCAAACATTTGATGCAAATAACATAGTTGACTGGACACATTATTAACCATCAGCACTATGTTCATTTCAAGGCAGAAGTGCAAAATTCCATTGATAATGATGTGTAATGACGTCTACATGTCATACAAATTGTCAACTAGGTTACCTGTCAACTAAGTTACTACAGTTATTACAGTACTGGGTAACTTAGTTGACAGGTAACCTAGTTGACAATTTCCCTATTTTGACCCATCATTTCAACGGTAGGCCTTGCCTGGATGACCACATGTCATTTTCTTGAACAGGTTAACATCACATTTGAACATATAATTGAATTAAAATCATTAAACAATTGTAAACCATAACAATGTACGTAACATTGTTGATAGTCAATTAATATACTCATTGACAATGTGCTATTATACATAAAATATTGTAAAAAATTAGAGGACAATCACCACAGTGTGTTCAAAATGTCTGCCAAAGAGGAACATGGCATCATGTGATGCTGGTGACATGGTATTGGGACAAACCATTTTTGAGTTAAAGGGGGGAGTTCTGTTAGTAACATAGTTGACAGAACTTTTGCGGACATTCATATATTAAGATATTTAAATTATTTAAAGGAGGAAATCAATTAAAAATATGTTATTATTCTTTAGTATTTAGACTTTTGAAATAAATGAATACTTTTTTTAATTTACTTTAATGGTTTTTATTCATTATTTTGAAACCAAGACACCCTCCCTCAACTGAAAAACGGACATAGCAAAAACTGACAATTTAAGAACATCATGACACATTTCAAGCTAAATGCACATAATGTTTGTGTGATATTATAACCTGCTTTCCAATAATAGGCAAAATATGATATTTTTGAAGAAAATAGTTAGAATAATTATAATTATCATCAATGGACATGGAATGTACCCTAAATTGTAGAATCACTCGCATACCAAGTTACTGCGTGGCACTTTGGTTTTGATAAAGCAGTGTAGTTCCCCTATATAAACGTTACATTCATAATCAAACGAGACACTCTGCAAGAGAATTAGCTATTTTTTGTTATTCTTAATGCTTGTCATCACGTTAATAAAATAAAAATAAGTACCGATACATAGCAGAACAATTGTGGCGATGTTCAGCTTAATAAGCCTTGTTCAACATAATGTATTTAGCTAATACTACAGCGGGCTGCAGGCAAACCAAGTCCGCGTTTCGCTGCATTACTTGATCTCCAGTTATAATGCCGGACTCCACCGCCCAGAGCTAACGGAGCCGCAGGGGGCTCCGGGACGCCGGCTGGAGCTGGACGACGGCTGGAGCTAGCCCCCTGCGGCTCCGTTAGCTCCGGCGGCCACCACTGGGATAATTGGGTCCCCTTTTAACATTTGCTCCCGTTTAGCATTATGGACGTCATAGCCATATACTATAAAAGTCTTACCCAAGTCTGAATCATAAACGAAACTGTATATATATATGTATACATGTATAAAGGGTTACGTCCTTAGCTGGCTAATAAGCTACATAACAAGCTAAGCTAACAAGCACACAAACACCTGCTAATGGGGTTAACATGTATAATATTATAATTTTAGACTTCTTGGAAGTTCTGTTAGTACATTCAAGCGCACAGCACGACATTTTAATTGTCTGGTATTTGTAACAATATTCCCTAAAAGGCACAATCACCACGAACACGGCTAAAGGGTCAAGTACAGTAACTACAACTAACTAACGTTGTAGCCTAGCAGAGTGGACAAGTTGCTGTTAGCTGACAGTGAGGCACGTACCTGTCCATCAAAGTGACCACGCCCTAATTTATGCAAAAACGTTAAGACTAGTGAAGTAAAAAGATATGATTCTACACTGTATTGAAGTAAACATGTATTATTTGAACTGTTTTAGGTAATCACAAACGGGTTTTGATAATCACCAAATAGGAATGTTATTCTCACTTTCAAACTCACTG